AGCCACTATAAACCCTAAACGGACACGGAGGCCTCTCAGGCCTCTACTTCGAGTTGCCAAAGGTTATAAATAAACCTAAGCAGAGTTCCACTAAGCCATTTAACGCCTTACCGTAAACCCTTAACCTGTGGACTTAAACCTCATAACCTAATGTGGGGACCTGATTAACAAACCCTGGGTCTTGAATACGGTTCTTTACATTATGAGCCGTAAGATTTGGGGTTACGGGGCCAGGAATTCTTAATCAGCTTCCCACAATAAACCTTATAATCTCTAATCCCCATACCTATAGAGTCACTTAACCCTAAACACCTACCTGGACCCCAAAAGCATGTAGAATGACAGCCTTTTGTAGGTGTTGGGCCATTAACTTACTTACTTCGCGGGGATTCCGGTAAACGGTAAACCGTACTTAAAGGATCATGGGACCCAGTAAGTATAGGGTTATAACCGAGGTAACTATACTTATAACCCCAATTAAGGAACTTATAAACCTACTTACTAAGTCCCATGTACCTCCAAGTAAACCCTAAACCCTAAAACCCTAAACCCCTAAACCCTAAACCCCTAAACCCCTAAACCAACCTCCAAGTAGAGTCCCGTGATCCTTGGAGCAGGCGGCGTTCATGATGCGCGGCAGCCATGCGCGCACCGGCCTCGGCCTGAATTTGTTTAGCAGTTGTTGAAGATTTAGGGTTGAGGGTTCAGGGTTGAGGGTTTAGGGTTTGGGGTTTAAGGTTTACGGGTGTGTATACAGTGTGCGCGGCCGCGGCGAATATGCTTTTTACTTTAGGAATAGGGGCGCGCCCACTTGTCGCAGATTTGCGTCAGCATGTAGAGGCGCTCGGCCGGAAACCTCGGTCAGAGCCTCGAGCGCCCATGTAAATGGTCAGCGGCGCTCTCGGCAGTCTAGGGTTTAGGGTTTGGGGTTTAGGGTTTGAGGGCTGGGGTTTGGGTTCTGGCGTTTAGGCTTGGGGTTTGGGGTTCAGGGATTGAATGGTTGGAAGGTTCTCATGAGGTGCTTTCTCAGAGTTTCCGGAGCAGTTCTAACACTGGGTTCGATACGAAAAGGGTTTTTATGTGGGTACTGCGGTGTTTGGGGTTGAAGGTCAGGGTTAGGCCGTTTAGTCTCAGATTAGGGTGTGAGGGTTTAGGTTGTATATATGGGTGTATGTGGACTCGGACACGGTGAACCTTGTAAATGCTCTTCCTTTCAGTCCCTGCAATTCTGCTCCAAGTGCCAGCTGTACTACAACATACCTCTAAAACAAGTTCAAAACGGTGAAGTCTAATCGAGTGCGTGACAAATTACAAGTAATATTATTATTCTTTTGAAAATAATAGCAATTATTCTTATCATTACTATTATGATTATTACTTTATCCGGGCCCCATTGCAGCCTCGATCTCAGAGGCGTGATGAATACTGGCAGTTGCTCTCTTCCGGTCGCAGGCCTGCCGTTCTGCCTGAAAATACAGACGCATACCGTCTTCTGCCGTTCTGCCTGAAAGACAGAAAACCACATGGCAGCGAAAGTAATTGAGACTTGCACCGCACCGTCTTCTGTCGTCCTTCCGACAAGACAGATGCATAACCAGAATGGAGGCAGGTTCAGAAATGCAGGATGGGGTACTTAGAGGATCATGGGACCTAGTAATAAGTAGGGTTATAATTAAATTAGGGTAACTATACTTATAACCCCAATGAAGGGACTTATAACCTTACTTACTAAGTCCCATGATCCTCCAAGTAGGCAATGTATGCGCCTGAAAACAAGCCAACGCTGAGTTTCAAGCCCAGGGAGGCCTGGCTGACGGGCTGCTATGTGATTTCCATAATAAACTTGGATTTCCATCTTTAGCACTTCAATCCATCTTGATCTACTTTTATATAATCGCGTACACAGATTACATGGCCATATTCTTATGGTAATTAGACGGCCTTTCATGCGAATCTGCTGATGTCTGCCTATATCAATATATAACCTGGTGGATTCCAAATTGTGGATGATGGGTCTGCACCAACAGCATGCATTGGTTTTGGTTGCTCTCGAGCTGTGTGCTACCACAACAGAACACCACATGCATGAACATAAGCGAAGGATTGCTCGTCATTGAATCCTTCGGAAGCAAGCCAGGCAGAACAACTATAGTAGGATCTCGAGTGAGTTAAGGGTTTCGGGAACAGGACAAGATTTTTGGCAATACAAACCCGGAGCACAGTTTGAACTGCGCCACAGAGCCAGAAACGCCTTAAGCCTCAAAGCCTAAAACTCTAAACCGTAAAACCCTAAACCCTGAAAACCTAAACCCCCCTCCTTAAGCCCCAAGCCTATACCTAAGCCCCAAGCCCAAGCCCTAAACCGAAAGCTCACAACCCCAAATGGGCCGTTGCCTTGGCTCTGCGAGGATGGAAGCCCGGTGGCGCCATCTTCCTGAGATGTCTGGGCTTCAAAAGTAGGGTTTAGGGTTTAGGGTTTAGGTGTTGATAGATCCTTCTGTAGAGTGTCGGGTTTAGGGCCCTAAACCCTAAACCCTAAACCTTGAGGTTTTTGGTTTATGGTAGATCTTTTCTGTAGGGATTTTGTGACGGGTTCGAGGTTCTAGGTAGTACTGTCTGAGTTGTGGCAGCTATATGGATTCATATGGTGTTTAAGGGTTTGGGGGTTAGGGGATTTGGATGTAAGGTTTAGGATTTCCCGGATTGGTCTGGGTTGTGGGAGCTATCTGGGTTTTCTGAAATTTAGGGGTTTGGGTTTAGGGGAATTTGGAAGAAATGTTTATGTAGGATCTCCGGGATTGGGTTTCTAAACCCTGAATTCGACCACCCTCAACCCTAAACGCCATAATGTAGGGGCCTTAATAATTTCAACAAGGTTTTGGGGCCCATTCTACTATAATTATAATAAGGAACCCCGAAAATAACGTAGGTAACTATATAAGGCCCTATATTAAACTCCATAATCCTCCGTTCTCTCGTATCCCCTTAACAAGAAAACCTACTGTTTCCCTGTGATCGTTCCATTATAAGAAACAGACCGTAAAAGGAATTAACCGGAGATCCTGACTAGATTCGACAATTTCGTGTAGGGTTTAGGCTTTTGGGTGTATGGTTCGAACGTCTGGTACGCCACTGACAAAGCCAATTGATCGAGCCCAAGCTCACGCACTGGCGAAACTGACCCTCGAATCCTCCGGATCGCGTGCCTCAATTTCAGATCTTTTCACCACGGATCCAAAATCCGGCCAGTTCACTTTCATTAGCTCAAGCCTGTTGATCCCAGCAAACCCCACCCCTTGTGTGAGATAACTTTATGCCATCCCGCCTTGACGACACCAGCGGAGGTAGAACCCCACAAGGCTCCAGTCACCTACATAGTATATACTTAATCTAGGGGCCTTAATAGTTAGAATAGGGTTTCGGGGGTTCCTTAATATATTTATAGTATAACATACCAAGGCCCCCATGTTAGGTCAAAGCCTAAGGCCTATCAGCAAAAACTATAAAAGGTTTAGGGTTTAGGGTTTATAGGGTGAGAGGGAGGTCCTACCAGCCGACTCAGCAGATCCCGAATGTAGACTGCAAGCCGCGCCCTTCTGGGGCTAGGTTCCATGTACCCACATACTATACGCCGAAAAGGTTCATGTACCCAAATAGCACAAACTTTGGGGCTTTAAATTACCTATATAAGGACCACCCCAAATTATATATACTTGGGCCCTAGAATACCTAAATAGGGACTACATTAGAAAGGCCAAAGTACATACCGGATCAATACATCGACTTTTCGGGTTGGTAGCTGAACCCCACCGTTTGGGTACCTGGACCCTTCGGATAAACCATCACTGCAACATGCAAGGGCCCTTAATGATTAGAATAGGGTTTTGGGGGTTCCTTATCATAAGTTCATACTAGTATTTTACCCCCAAACCTTATTCTAATTGTTAAGGCCATATATTACATGCTGGCAAGAGTCTGAAGCATCTTCATCACGACGGCTGGAACGCAGCGGCTCGGAACCCTACCGGCAGAAAGACATACACTGACACCCTAAACCCTGAACCCTACCGAAAAACGGGGCCCGGCACCTATCAAGTGCTCCAGAAACCCTGCAACCCTAATCCCTGAAACCCTGAACATGAGGAAATGCAACTTCATGTCGAGGTCTGCTTGAGCAAACAAAGAAGCGCAAGCACTCATCATTCACCAGCGTCACATGGGTAGTTCTTTAAATTAGGGTCCCTTTTGGGGAGCCAAGGTGCGGTACTCTTTTGGGGACCTAAAGAGGGACCTAATTTAGAGAACTGCACCTGTATGGCTGCTTCAGATGAGGGTCTTGGATTTCCGTTGCTAAGGTCTTTGTAAAAGCCTCTAATACACGGGCATTAATATTTAGCCTGGGGTTTTGCGGGTATATTCTACTGTATATGTATAAGAAGGAACCCCCAAAATAGTATCGGTGATTATTTAGGCTCCTACATTGGCCGTCGGCTCACCCCAAACAGTAAATGTATCTGAGGCAAGTGCTTTCTTGAAGGCTGGACATTCAGCTCTGGGGGTTTGGGCCCTCGGCCCGCCCCAACTGTAAATGTATCTGAGGCAAGTGCTTTCTTGACGGCTGGACATTCAGCTCTGGGGGTTTGGGCGTTCGGCCCACCCCGAACAGTAAATGTATCTGAGGCAAGTGCTTTCTTGACGGCTGGACATTCAGCTCTGGGGGTTTGGGCGTTCGGCCCACCCCGAACAGTAAATGTATCTGAGGCAAGTGTTTTCTTGACGGCTGGACATTCAGCCATGGGGGTTTGGGCCTTCGGCCCACCCCAAACAGTAAATGTATCTGAGGCAAGTGCTTTCTTGACGGCTGGACATTCAGCTCTGGGGGTTTGGGCCTTCGGCCCACCCCAAACAGTAAATGTATCTGAGGCAAGTGCTTTCTCACAGGTTGTGTCCCGCACCCTCCATCCTAAACCCTAAACCGTAACCTAGGTGGTGGCAGTCGGTCACGGCGCTCTTCTTCGACCGTAGCGTTGCAGCCTGACAGCCTTCACCAGTCTCACAGAACAATTCTTGCGCCCACAACTTTCGAACTCTGGTCGGGAAAGAATGGCTTGCTTCGAAATCCCGTGCAGCCCACCCTTGCTCTGAAATGTGGCCCAGTTCATGTTGCCACCACCATACTTGAAAAGAATTTCCATCGCTCGTTGCACCCATGCTGGGTTCTCTTCTTCATCTACATCTTCATCATCATCATCTTCTTCTTCTTCTTCTTTTTCTTCTTCTTCATCTTCTCGCTGAATTTCATCGGGCCCTTGGCTTTCCTCCTCCTCCGCTTCCTCGTCCTGCTCCTCTCCCTGGGCATCCAGATTGCTAAAGTGGGCATCCCAGTTGACTGTTCTTCGTGAATGCTTCTGCCAGTATTTTCTGCAAGTAAAGGGGCTCGAAGCGTGTCTTGGGGCATTGGTTGCAGCCTTCCACTGCTCCCTCCACCATACAGTGTCCTTGCCTCTGACGGACTCCAACTGCTTGTAGCCCATGAAGCCAGCCCAGCACCATGTGCAGTAGAACTGATCATAGGGTTCATTCACCCTGTCGTGCCAGCCTTTGCTCCAGCCGCGGCACTGCATGCACACGGATTGCTTGACCATTGCAACTCACGTCAGCCAATGTCAGAGTGTCTCCTACAATCGCAAGGACGTGAACGCTGACAGGGAGATTTCTGGGAGGTGGTTACACTATCCTTTCCCATCGAATATATTGTTGTAGCAAACACGAGACCACTTCATAAGCCCCTGACGCTGTGCTAGAAACCATGTCAAGCCATGTCTGGAAGTGGTCTTGCACTGTAGGGCTTTGTAGGGCTTCCCTAACTTTGTTGCTGCATGACGTTCGCGCACATACCACGTCATAATTAGCTGGTGGAGTGTGCAGTGCTACAAGCGGGCCTACAAATTCAAGGCTCCCGTGGCCCTGAACCCTCTAAACCTATAGACCCTCAACCACAAGCCATACCGCTTAGTTGATTAGGGCTTCAGGAATGATTTTGCGGCATGTGTGATTCCTAGGCACATGGACCCTGAGGGTGAATCCAAACAATCGCTGGAACCCAAAAAAAACAAGTGTCATAAACCAGCACTTTCTGGGTGATGCACAGAGAGCCCAGTAGCTGTAGCAGTCGGGCAGGCCCTGTCTAGGGGCAGCAGGAATGGGTTTGGACTTTTTGGCATGTACAAACAATGTGGCCGTTGAAGGAACTGCTAAGGGGTGGTTCTCTAAATTAGGGTCCCTTTGGGGTCCCTTTGATAAGGGTGCCGTACTATTTTGGAAACCGAAAAAAGACCCCATTTTGGAGAACTGCCCATGTTGTTCCTCTATAGTACACATACTTTGGGGTTTGCGCTGAGGGTTCTGGGGTCTAGGGCTTGCAGCGTCTACGGTATGGTTCAGGGTTTGTTGCTTGTTGTTTAGAGTTGGGTTGCGGTTTTGCGGTTTTGAAGTAGAGAACTGGGTCCAAGAGTTTCAGGCTTAATTAGGGTCAAATGTTTTGAAGTGGCAGGTATCGGGGCCTTAATAGTTAGAATGCAGTTTTGGGGCCCATCATATTATATCTATATTCAGGAACCCCCAAAATAGTATTGGTAGTTATTTAGGCCCCTATATTATTTACTGGAGATTCGAAATTCCAGGCTCATGATTTCAGGTTAAGTCTCGCTTTGAGCTGCAAAACGCCTCACCCTAACTCTCCCATACTCTACAGAACCCTAAAGCCTAAACCGCCCTAAACTGGATACATGAACTTGGTTGACTTCTGAACCCCTCCGGCAGGTTAAACTTTTAGCCACATTATTCTAGTTCATATAGAAACCAAGCAAGTTAAAGTCCTAAGAGCCAACCAGAAGAACACCAAGTGAAACTTCCCAAACCCCAGGCCAGTCTTTGCGACGGCCTGCATCAGCGCCGTGGGAACGGGTGGTATGAAAATGCCTGGGACTTTGGCTTGAATTTAGGGTTTAGGGTTTAGGGTTTAGGATTTAGGGTTTAGGGTTTAGGATTTAGGGTTTAGGGTTTAGGGTTTAGGGTTTACGGTTCGGGTTTCGTAGAGGCGCCTCAATAACTAGATTTTGTTTCATGTAAGGGTTTGTTTAGAGGGGTTCCTTTCGGGGTTGTTAGAAGGGTTAGTATTACTGTGAGGCTTTAGCACTTGGCCTTTCATGATGAGAATAGCGCTTCGGGATAAAATATACTGATTCGGGGCATAACGGGCACCCTGAAGACTGGTTCTGACAATTATTTGTCGATTTGTGGTGCCGAGGGAGTCGATTGACGGGCGCTTAAATCTCAAGCAGGTTGAGCCGTGAAACCCTTGTCAAGCCCAAAACCCGTGAATCATCCTGAGTCCATAGCTGCAGCCTAAATCCTTGAATCATCTGCCATATTTAAGAAGTGCCCTGAAGCCTCCTGAACATTCGCTGACCCGGTAAAAGAGCGACCCTTTCGATCGCTCAACCTAGTCTCTTAATGCATTCACGGCTTAGGGTGTAGAGGTTTCGGGGGGTTAGGGTTTACCTAGACCCTATAAGACCTACCTTTTTAGGGCCCCTAAAACCCTAAACCCTAAACCACCTAAAATCCCCTAAAAAACCCTAAACTCCCTCTCTTCGCTTCGTCCTTCTCTGCATTTTCTCGTCCCTTCCTCGCGCTAACCCCACAGGTACCTACCATATAATATAGGGTACTAGAGCCCCCAACCTAAACCCTAAACCCAATAAGGCCGCCCCTAAACCCTAAACCCTAAACCCAATAAGGCCGCCCCTAAACCCTAAACCCTAAACAAGGCCCTAAGTAGTAGGTACCTGGACGGTTAGGGTCTCGCCGGGTCGCCATCTCCGGGCTCGGCGCTGAGGCTGTGCCCCAAGGCCTGGCATGAGAGGACCCATCGACACAAAAGGGCTTTAGGGGATTTTAGGGATTGTAGGGTTTTAGGGTTTAGGGTTTAGGTTTAGGGTTTAGGGTTTAGGGTTTAGGGGATTGTTAGGGATTTTAGGGATTTTAGGGTTTTAGGGCTTAGGGTTTAGGGATTTTTGGGCATGATGGTAGAACTCGTAGAGTGCACACAGCATGCATGGTGGGTTTAGGGTTTAGGGTTTATCACAAAACACATAAATGTTAAGCACTCTCTATCTGTGTCTGTAAACAAATGTATATAACATGTTACATACAGACACATACAGACACATACATACATACATACATACATACATACATACATACATACATACATACACATACCTACGTACGTACATACATACACGCATACATACATACATACATACATACATACATACATACATACATACATACATGTGTATATATATATATGTTAAGATGTGTACATATCTGTATATAAGTATATATGTACATATACATACATACATATATATATATATACATACATACACACAACTATAATCTATCTGTATATATATATATATGCAGCTATTACTCGCGGGTTGATTTACTATCAAGTAATTAGAACACGCTTTGGGGGCCCGTGATAGTTTAGTTATACCTACAAACCCCTGAAAAATTAAAAAGTTAGGTTATCTGGCGTCCAGGTAGAGCTTAATGCTTCGGGGGGTTAAGAGCTTCGGCTATAAGGTTTAGTCATGGCTTCGGTTTAGTTTGGGGCTTGGGGTGGAGTGTAGGGAGTAGGGCCCTTTTCATCATCGCTCGAAGTACTACAAAACTGGCAATCAAACAACAAATGCTAATGAACAGGTCGCACTGCAGCTATAGACGGTTTGGGGCTAAATTAGTTCGGATGGAATAGCGGTGCTGCAGACGTTGATGATTAGCCCTTCAGCCGTTTAGCACTTTCAAGGGTTCAGGCTTTCTGGCTTGGGCCCTTCGGGTTAAACAATGCGGACCAGTGTGTGTCCAATGTCGTGTGCATTGATTTGTGTTCAGCCTAACTTGCTTGTTGTTACCAGCGCACGACGAACATGTCGAACGTACGGTGGAAGCGATAGACCTGCATGAGACAAACAAAATTATCGGACTATACCATCATGATGTCTGCTGAGAAAACCAAACCCAAGCCCAAATCGATAAAACAAGTGTTCGCACGAGGGACGAGGGATCCCGCATCAACAATCCTAAAGAGCCTCTGCAACATCCGCAGGATGCGCAAAACTCAACATACAAAGTGAGCTGCATGTTTCGTGAACCCTGAATCCAAAGCCATACGCTGGACTCTAGACTTCGTCGTCCCTCAGACTTCAGGGCGTAGCATTGGTACTCTTCACGTACTGTTTGACCTCCCGGCAGTCACTTCCCAGGTTTTCTGCTTGGCAGAATGCGGAGTGGCAGCAAAGCTGCCTAGGCCCTAGGCCGATAGGCACAGATCCTCCACCGTAAAAGCCAAATCCTCAAGCCCTACACTAGGGATTGGGGAGATTCGTTTTGTAGGAGTGCGTGTGACGAAGAAACTCGGTTCAGTCAAACAGCCGTAGTGAACTGGCTACAATTGCTGCGTGCATGGCCTACGCAACTATCTCGTGCGTGCACCACAAGCTCTGAAACCTTTAAAATCCAGAGTCCGCAGAAAACCTCTGTAGTAGTCCGCTCTTCTAGGCAGAAGACCCAAACCAAACGAAGTAGCTGTGCGTAAAGCACTCGCGCATGCGCTTGAATAGACGTTCTACAGGCTGAGGAAGCCTACCGCGCGCTATGGATGTAGGTACTTTGGAATTTGGGGTATCCCTTACTTAGGGATACCTCGTTCGTGAACCCTAAACCCTAAATCCTAAACCTCGAAGCCCTGAAGCCCTACCTGTAACTCTCTTTACCTACAGTTTAGCCATTACCCCTTAATTAGTAGGTAGAACCCATAGAACTGTAGGTAATTAGAGTCCCAGGTAGACGGTGCTTGAGCTGCTATTTGGACTTCCAGGTGGGATACACAAGCCGAATGCCAGTCTGCTGCTTCTGCTGCCTTAGGGGGCACTGTTTGGAGCCATACACCCCTACTTGGAGGATCATGGGACCTAGTAAGTAGGGTTATAAGCCCTTTAATTGGGGTTATAAGTATAGTTACCTTAGTTATAGCCCTACTTACTAAGTCTCATGATCCTTTAAGTATATTGTACGTTGAAAGGGCTTAGTACAGAGGCCTTCATGATCAGAATAGGGTTTGGGGCGCATAGCATAAATGTTAGGATGAGGGGGACTTTAAGCCTCACTGCAGGGGTTCCTTGAAACAACTACTATAAGGGTTCGACTAAGAGTCTGCGATGATCAAGGCGAGAGCTAGCTCCGACGATTTTCGGGTTTGGAGTTTAGGACTATGTTGCAGGGTTCAGGGTTAAGGACTATACGGCTGAAGCAAGCCCGCCGGTGTGCTTAGCATGACATCTTATCAACAATCGCAAATATTTGGGCCCATCTGCGCAACAGAAGTCAAGCAGCTGTGCTGGGCTGTTACCCTTGCAAGACCCGAAGGGTCCATGCACCCAAACAGTATATACTACTTTGGCCGCTTGGCCTTAAACTAGCCCCTACTTAGGTACTTCAGGGCCAAAGCATATACTACTTGGGTACGTGGGCCCGTAGGGAGCAGAGAGTCAAAATGCCAACAAGCCGAGCACTT